TGTGAGGGCCTGTATACCTTGCCACATGCGCCTTGGGTCATTTGTGGTGAAGTGTTCCTCTAATTCCTGTTTGAGCGTGTTTTTTGCATGTTTAATACCATTGTTAAGATTGATCCTGGCTGACCTTAGTTCTGATTTATTGCCCGATTTGAATGCTGCATCCCTTGCTTTGATTAGGGTGCGAACCTCACTGTTCATCCCAGCTGTCCTGGCTTTTAAATGATGAGCAACAGCTGTGCAGGTCCTTTAAAGGCACACTGGACACCCCTGGAAGGGGAAAGCTATACACTGATAGTCCCAAATGGGATTGTACCTGCATAAGGCATTCTTTTTCTTTTCATTTACTTTTTGCCTGTCCCATCACGTATTTTCACGGGGGCAGACACACACACACACTTTTTTCATGCAACAAGGATTTGTTTTCTTTTTCCCTTACGAGCCCTGTTCTAACACTTTGGACCCTGCTAAACAGGGTAAGTCCAGTCCAGTCTGGTCGCTGTTGTGCAATACCGTTAAATACCGTTAAATAGGGGAAGCCCACCCTGGAGGTCACGAGGAACGTGGGGTACACTTTTTTTTTTGTATTGTTTTTGGTTCCTGCTCACACCAGTGCTTCCGTCTGCTCACGTTGATTTTTTTACCGGTGCTCGCCGCTGCGCCTCCCCCACCGCACTGAGTGTCAGTGCTGGTGACAACCTCAAGTAAACGTAATAGTGTTTAAGCTGAAGGAAATGCAGTGTACAAGTTGAGATGGTGATGTGGAAGAAGGTTGCAGTTGAAAGGAGGTCACGCCGCTGTTGTGCTAGCATAGTAACACATTTGTACTCAATCAACAACCCCACAGCAGATTCCAGAAACCCGTGGAATCAACCCCCACAACTGAACTTGAACTTGAACTTGAACTTTATTGCCATATGTAACCAGTACTGGTACAATGGAATTCTTACTTACAGAAAGTCTCTCGATTGTTAAACAAGTGTAAAAAACAAGACAAAGTGCAAACAGTGCATCAAGACAATGTACAAACAAACAATAGACAATGTGCAAGTAAACATGTAGACAGTTTTAATGTAAACAAGAGATTACCTTCACGTCGGCGCACCACTTGCTGTTGACCAGGAAGCAACTGAAGTCGCTTTTTCAAAGAGCCACAGCCCATTATGAAAAGAAGTGTCCCATACTTTTTTCCCCTACTGCTTAACTTTCAACAAAGCCCTGTGGTCCTGGTTTTCTTCTTGAATTGTTAGGGTTAGAACAGACAGTACAGAACCTTGAAAGAGTTATCTCCAGATAAATGGAAGGTGAGTCCTTTTTACTGTATATCTTAGTTCAAGGCACATCTTTCTGGAAAAGATTTGTAACTCAGTCCTGCGCTCCATGTTTGTTGTGTTTTGTAGTGAGCAAAACCGAATGCCCAAATCTGTGGTAGTACATCTGCAACCTATAGTTCTATATCACATATAAAAATTTGTATGTTTTATATCAATGTGTAGTATTTATTTTCAATAGGCCACAGTCAGCTCAATGGAATTTGTGGTTAAAGTGAGAGAGGAGCTCATAGCAAGGCATCACAAGTCCTAAATCATTACAATACCATACGGTTAAGTTAGCTTACTAACTTATTCTTTGTTTCTCCTGTTGTTGCTTTTTTCATGACAAACGATCGTCAATTCATCATCATGTTCACCTGCATGTCATCCCTCCCATCTTCTGTGACTCATTTCTTTAGCCAAGGCTGTCTTCCATTCATGTAAGTACCCACCTGTGTGAATTCACTGTCATGGCCATGTGGTCTCATCCTCACTAAGTGAAAGTCAAAGTGCTGGGTGCAACCATTCTCATCCAGGGTGTCAGAATGGATATGTGGACCATATCCACATCAGTCTGCACTGAGCTCTCTTCAGTCTTCTCCAGTATGGATTTTAAATTATCCTGGTTATTACATCAGTGCCCTTGATCTCTGACAGACTTACAGGAGCTCCAGGTTTGCTCCTTTCTTTAGCGGGGAAGTTTTAGAGGGGAGTTTTCAATGAAGATGCAACATACCATAATACCGGCCCAGCAAGAGCTAGTCCTGGGTGAATCTGAAATCCAAAATCTGCATCATAAAAGAAAGCCGTGCTTCATGAAATGGGATTATGTAAGACAATGTGTCTGTGTGTATGCGTATTTGCGTAGGTGCCCGATATGAGGGTGGCAGGTGGCAGCAGAGAAGACTGAGAAAGCACGGAGGATCACAGCACACAGCAGACGTCACGAAACTCACTCAGAGATAATTATTTGAGCGGAGAACGGGCACAAAGGTCGTAGAATCTGTGACAGTGCTAAATAGAAAGGTCAATGTTGTTCTTGTTTTTTTTTCTGAGGAACGAAACAAAATATCCATCATTAAATGTTACTCACAGCAAAATGTTCTCTACATAGTGACAAAAAATAAGCTTCCACAAGAATTTTCCTTGTGGTGTTTTTTATCATATCTGTTCATTATAAATCATAATAGAAACCACAAAAAATAGGAATTTATTTTCTTCATATTACAATTACAGTTTTGCACTTATGCAGCTGTCTTTTGAACTTGCTTTTAGAAATTACAGTGATAGGCTTTACAGAGAAAAGGCAAAATAATTTCTTACTGAAAAGAGAAGAGAGAAAAGAACGTTTCAGCTCAGGTGTACACCTGAAGAAGACTTCACAGCCAAAACATTGTATTTTCTCTCTTCTCTTTTCAGCATGGAATAAACCTATTTCTTGTGCTTTTGCAGACTACACATGCTGATGCAGCTACCCACCTGAACTAAAATTATTTCTTGTCAATTTGTATATGGTTCATATACCAGGGCACGTCTAGAAAATATTGTGTTGTGGGGCACAATTTAACAGACTTTTTTCTAGAAAAACATGCCAGAGCATCTGGTCTGCAGAGCAACATGACATATGGGAGAAGTCAACAGGGCTCATTTGTCACCTTTTCATTTCCGGAGCGAGTTTTCAGCACCAAACTGACTCTTGGAGATAACTGTCATGTGTTAGTTGGCATACTAAATGTATGGGCTACCCACACTGGTATGTTTGTAAATATTTCAACATTCTTCGTGAAAAAAAAATTGCAATGTTGCATCAACAGCATTGGGAAAATAAGCAAATAAGCTTATTTGCAGGTAACAGTTTCCAATTTTTTAGTGTGGGAGAATTACATCAGTGTGACAGTGATGTTGTAAAAAGCAAGGTCTGTAACTGTGGTAAGTGATTAAACAGGATTACTAGGCAGGTCTAAACATTCAGGCATGTTCTTTTTTGAACTGGGGTCAGTTTCTTATTTTATCGGCTAAACAGCTAGGGGTGTTTCTTGTAGGAGATTATGTATCTTAATGCCACAGATGTCCAAAGGTGTGCTCTGAGAAATGCTGAAGAATGATTTTATGTTCATTTTAGCACATATCTGACTCACATCATTGAGGTGAAGATGAGGTGAGGGCATCCTCATTTGGAGTTGATAAAAGCATTTGTTTATTGAACTAATTATTCGATCAACAAGATAATGCTATTCCTTGTTGGTAATTCCTTCACTTATCTTCAGAGACATGTGAAACCAGTGGGTCTGTGCCTCCCCCAGGGATCATCTAGTTGTTCATCACTTACAATCTGTCGGTGTAGCTCTCCACAGCAGTCAAAGGTTGTAGAGTGTGTGCGTCTGAGATGAGGTCACTCTGAAGTCCTCCCTTCCTCTCTCTCCAGCTCACAAGCACAGGAAGCACGAAATGCTGCAGCCCTGCGACACTGAATACCCAGCCTTCGTGTATGAGCCCTCCATCAAAGAGACCAACGGATTAATCGATTGCGGAAGCTGCCAAAAGTAAGAGTGCTCTCCCAGTTCCAAGCGCCCACTTGGAATGCCCTTCCCTGACCAAACATTTACATGTTTGTCAGAGAATGTCAAGACGGTACTGCTCCTGTACTGCTGGAACTCAGTCATTTTTATTGCACTTCTCTTCTGTCGCTCTGTGCCTTGTACTCAAATCTCCTTTGCTGCTCGTCTGCCAAGCTTGAAACACGCGCAGTTGAACTGGCCTTTTATTACGAAATTATTTGCTTGATCCCCTTATTGGAGTCTGAAGTACAAAAAACAACGTTGAAATCAAATAAAACACTTTAGAAACAGGTTTGGCCATGCTGCTTGGCAACAGCACACAACTTTAACCATCTAAAAAAAAAAGGTTTTGTGGGCGGCTTTAGGGAATGCTGAGGTATTCTAGTAAAAGAGAGACTTAAACCTAAAATTAAAGTTATAACTCAAACTTAATTGTTTTTAAAACTCTAAATAAACAGCCCATTTTAATTCTTCTATACCAGTACCTTATAGATGTATAGTGCTACCGAAGTGCTTTGTTTACAAACACCAGCTTGTCCACAGTGAGTCAGAAGCTCCCTCTCAATTCCTCCTGCTGTTGGGAACAGGCACATAGAGGCCACACAATATCCAAGTGGCGTACTAGAGCTTACTTCTTTTGTAGATACAATAAAATCAGAAACGTTGTCCTTCCATGAACTGACACAATGAGTTGAAGTGCGCACAGACCTCACTAAAAATATGCTTTGATGTTTCTTCGTCTGGTGTTGAAAAGGAAGAGAAAGCAATCTCTGTTAAATGACTCCTACTGTGTGGACAGTCCCTTCACTGCAGTTGTGCAGATGGGGCGATACTGCCACCTACAGGGGCTGTGCAGCTCTGTGTCTTGAAGAAATGTTTGATCTCTGAAAACATACAGTGCACAATATGTTATGAATCGCAGGTTTGGAAGCACGCAGACCAGATCACAATTCTGTAATCTGTATAACAGAATTTTAGTTTTGGGAATTTTGCAGTAGGCAGGTGAAATGACACTACTGTGTCCCTGAAAATGCTGCCCTTGGGCACAAGATGAATGCCACCCAGTGTTTGGTATTTTTTATTTTTATGTATTGTATTGTGAATAGTGTCCTGCATCAGCCCCAGTTAATACAGAAAAGGGAGAAGAGCCCTGTGGACATTCTCCTTAATAATCCCCTCCAAAAAACCCAGGTCCTTTCAACTACAAACTTTATTTTAAGTCATAAAAGTGGTTATGATTTTGTAATACTGAGCCTGAGAATCAAGGGGGTAGCCTGGTGCTTATTAGTTTGTATACAAAGTTAATCAGATGGTTTATGGAATGCTACTGACCTAACAGTAAGTGAACTAACCAAAAGAATAGTAAACTGTGAGACAGCAAATAAAACAGCAAGGCAAAAAAATAAATAAAGGCACAGCAGTCCAGAAGAAGGCAGTCTTGTTGCACCTCAGGCAAAGAAAGTCTGGCATAGAACAATGCCAGCCTTAAGCGGCCCAGCTTCAGTTCTCAAGGCCCAGGAGAAGATGGAATGGGATTCCCTGGTGCCTGCCGGACTAGGCCGACAGAGACATCTCCTGAAGAAGGTTCTCAACCTTAACCCGTCCCCTGGTCCTACTCCCAGAAGCCCCCGTACAACATAGTCCCGGTCAGAGCTCCCAGCTTCCAGGGAACAGAATCCCTGAATAAGGAAAGGCTCCACTGGGACCCAGGAAGGACAAATTGAGAGGGAAGATTAAGGGGGGGGGGGCAGGGTGTTGGGCAATAGAGGCTGCCCCGAATGAGAGTTGGGAACACAGCAAGGATAAGGGCAAAACCCAGAGCCTTTGTGCAGGGCGCAGGCTGGATGGATGATGCAGGCTGCTTCAGTGGCCTGGAATGGTGGCAGGTGTCAGAAAAGAGTCCTGAGGTTCCAGACTACGGAGACTTCCCTGGAGTGAGATCAGGAAAACAACAAATACAGGAACCAGCCAAGAGGGGTCCAGCATTCTAAAGAGGATAAACTGCACGTACTTACTGTTGTGAAGATTCAGAGTGAGTGACAGCAGTACTGCCATCCAGGGGATGAGTAGTGCAGGAACAAAAATGACGATGCACCTCAACAGAGGAGCTGTGGCATTATATAGAGGCAAAGGGGCAAAGTAAATAATCGGAGTCCTGATTAGTAATAAAGATGGAAGGTTAAAAGGAGATCCAGCCACACCAGGAAAACTCTGGAAAGCCATGAGCCCTTGTGCGAATTGCCCAGTGCAGCCACCAGCCGACTGACACCACAGGACATCGGATGTAACACGTGGTGTTCCTAAAATATGAAACCTATAAATGATAAACAAATATTAAAAGTCATAAGAGAAGAGTAGAGAATGATTTGGTCCATTTAGAAATGGACAACCAAACCCATTCTAATACCA